CATTTCCCCCACTTAGCCTAACTCGCACACGTCTTTAGTAAGTTATTTTAATATGTTAATGAAATGATTTGAACCATTTGATTTTGTAACAAACAAAGAAAAAAAAGGATATAAAAGGTATAGGTATAGGGGTTATCGATCGCAAATGTAAAAAACATTTGTATCATTTAAAGCTAAACCTAGGTATTTTTATTGAATTTATTCTAAATCCTTATTAAATTCTTCTAATATTTTTACACATTAGGTATATCTTTCGGAACATTGCCTTTCCCTATCTCTTTAGTATTCACCTAAATAAATAAATAAGTTGAATATAATTATCACAGTTCACAAGTATTTATATTTTTTTAACACTGTCCGATTGAAAATGTCAGAATTTCTTGATATACACAATTTCTTGATATCCCCTTATATTCCTCGACAACTTAATTTGCATACATTAACTTCAATCTATATTTATTTCCAAAACTACAATAGCTAACTTAAGTGTTTTAATTGTTAAATATTTAAAAAATGAATGATAGAAATCTATAATAAATATATCTTTCTATTGTAGGAGTATTCTTTAATTCTTTAATTTTTCATTAAGATCGAATTGTTAACATTACTGAGTTCTATCTTAGCGTTATATACAATTTGCTATAAGAGCTATGCATATCCATTTAGTAGTCTAAAAGGAGTACAAGGGTAATGCGGGTGCTACGTTCAAAACTGGCCTAAAGTGTTTGAATACGCGGAAATAAAGACCTTCTGTATTTATTAAATTAATAATCCATATTTAGAATGTTTGTATTAGTGTCGACCTCTATACTTATGTGTTTTAAATTGTGCCAGACTTTATGTCGTGTTTTTAAATTTATATTTATAAAATATAACTTATTTAAAAAATATTATAGTTGATAAATTTTGTTATATATTTTATTAACAGATATTTCGGTCTACTTCGTCTTCGATCATCTTCAGAGTTATTACATTTGTATAATTGTAATTTTCTACTTCGATATGTACAGTAAATGATACTTTGACAGTACAACACTTATATAATTTGTGAGATATATTGTTGAGTTGATTCCATACATCAAATAACTACTTGTAATGTCTTAGCTAATATCTATTTTCCTGAAAAAAACCTATCTAATACCAAATCTCTTCATAATATCGGTATAATTTACGGCGTAGCGCCTTTCTAGTTCTAATAAATTACTGCCATGATTAGGTGTATTGAATAACAGCCAAAAATCTTATCTTTACTTCTAATCAAAATAACTTTAGTCATTGTTACGTTAGTATTAGTAGAAAATAATATCAGCTGTCAAATTTGAGATTGAAAGCTTATCTTGTGGTTGAAAAACTTACATGTTGTTGTTGTTGTAGCCCGCAAAGATCTATTGATGTAGTCTCTTTAGCGAGTGTTGAACGACTCTAAGATCCCGTGCCCTCTCACACAACTAATTACCCATGTATTCGTCTTGTAATTCCTTTGATGTTATCTGCTTTACTGATCCCTGCAGGTTACGACAATAACAGTGGCATCGGGACCGCAACAACAGTAGACCCAACCGCTTCCCCAATTCACCCTGTCTCCCTTATTTTTCTCTCCCCTACCATCACGCATCCACATCCTAACTTCTGTATTCAAAATGCGGTTATTTTTGTTTTTTAAAATATACTAACTTTTATTTCGAAAGTTTTTTGTGTATCTCTACACGTGTTTCGGCAAATTCGCTTTTGCCTTCATCAGGAGAATTCCTAATATTAAAACATCTAGCAATCTTACAAACTATTTATACCATAAACATGTTATTTTTAATACTAAACTTAATATTAATAAATCCTAAGGTTATTGTCCTTGGGGGTGACAGGTAAGAAATGGTGGCGGGGTTGGTCTGGTGTTGTTTTTTTTTATTTTTACATACAGGTAGTTAGGTTGACTGGTTGTCGGTTTTTTGGGATGTATCTAAAAAGGCACGATGACACGTTGCCTTTGTCGCCGTTGAGTAAATTTGTGGTATGATGTTTGTGTATTTCGATGCTTTCTGCCGTTTCTAATTTCCAGCTATCCCTTACATTTTTGATTATTTGGGCGTTATCCCTGTTGATGTGGTGATTTTCCTTTACTATATGTTTGGCGACATTTGATTTTATGTGGGGGTTCATTTTCTTCGGTGCTTCTCTTGCTTCCTTCAGGTGTTCTTCAAGTCTTACTGATAAGGGTCTTTTGGTTTGTCCGATGTATACTTTGTTGCAGGAGCCACACTCTATTTTGTATACTCCGCATTTTTCGAATGGGTCAATTGGGTCTTTTGCGGATGGTAAAAGGCATTCAAGTTGGTGTGGTCTACTAGAGTGAACTATGTATTCGTCTTGTGAAACCTTTCATGTTATCTGCTGATGGTCTCAGCGGGTTACCACAACAACAACCCGAACGCTCTAGGAACCAAGAGATTTATATATGAATCTTTGTGGTTGTTGTCGTAGCCCACAATGTGTTTAAAAACAAAAAGTCTGGGTAAAAGACAGGACGGGAGAGTGAATAGGTATTATGAATTTTTGTATTAAATGAATAAAATTACTAAATACAACTATATATCAAAATATATACGTGTTTCTATATACAATATTTAAAAAAAAAAAAATACAATGTAAATATATATACGCATATAAAAATTTATTAAAAAAATATATATTGTAATAATATAAGCATGAATTTAATATAATTATATGTATGTTAAAAGTACATATTTATGGAATGATTAAACTGTAATATAGGTATATATATTATTTATGTACGGCAAGTGTTTTTGATCAATTAATTAAAAAAATAATAATTTTATAAAAATGTTTAAAACTATTTATGTTAAGAAATATTATATAATATTTTTTATTTAATTTAATTGTTTTTTTTTTGAATATCTTTTGTGAACTTTAAAGATAAAACTAGCCATACACATATGTAGATGATATTTGCTAAGTAATATCTGAGTATGTGCAGTTTATATGTGGTGTGCATTAGTTTCCATATGGACATTTATACCGACATACAGATGTGCAGACGTAACTTAAGACTAATTTTCACTTATTTAAATGCATCGTACTAAGTCTAGGCAGTTAATGAGACTTCAGCAGGAACGAGTTCTTGCGTTGGCATTTGAACTTGCTCAGCAAGTTCTGCATTGTCGTTGTTGGTAAGCACGAGATCGTTGCTTTGCACCGTTACGATCTGATTTTCTGTATTGAATTCTTCATGACCGCTAACTGCAGCGGATAACGTGGCTTGGCCGTTTTCTACTGGGAGACCAGCAGCTGTTGATTCTATTTCTTCAATATGTTCAAGAGTATTGTTTTCATGCCCATTTATAGTGATTTTATTAATTTTATTCATTTCACTAATGATATTTTCGCCCGTTTTTGGATCGATCTCAATTATTTTTTCTTTAAGTTTTGATTTAAATTCAAGTGGCCATTTAACGTTCCATTCACGAAATAACTTAATCTATAAGAAATATATAAAATTATGCATGAATTGTTAGTAAAATATGTAAAATTAAATTAAATAAATATTTATGACAATCGTAAACATTAGTTTTATCAGCTATAGGTTATAAATAAAAATTAGAAATGATTAAATATAATAGTGATTAAAAATTTATTTAATTACAATTTTCTAGCCTACAGAAACCTTAAACTCAATGTTATTTTTAATTTTAATATATATACAAATTTACAATGTATTGATCTTTCATCCAATTTCATGGCCGGTTTGATTTCATATATGGTAGTTTATTTTCAAATTTAAAAAAGGTACCCTAATACTGCGTTAACATGTTATTTTCAACACACTAAATCTCCGCCTCAACGATGTAACAAGTTTTCTGAATATGAAATATGATTCACTTCTTTAGCCCTATTCAATTAATCCCAAATTTCACCTTTAATCTGTTACCCAAAGCTCAAATTTCAAAATCTTAGGGTTATTTATTACGTATAGCGTTGAACATCTACGGGTATATATAATTTAACTGTTCCTATATAACAAAAGCATTGAAAAAAAATGAATATGACCAAAGATTATAAATAGATATTAATTAACACCACAAAGCTTATTGCAGTTCTTTCTGGTTATTAGTCTATAGAACCCAACCACATACGCATTCCTCATAATCCTTACTACAAAAGTTGTGAAAACCTGCAGGAAAAAGAAACCATTAAAAACTCTCTCTATGAATGTCCGGTTTTGACGTTCAGAAAAATTAGGTTTTAAGGAAGGTGCATTTTTCATAGTTTATCAGACTATTTATTGTTAAAGACGAAAGACCTATTAAATTATCTAAATTCGACGAGATGAATTTATTCTATAATCTTCAATCTTAAGGGGTCTTGTGAGGAATGTGCTACTACACGTCGAAAAATCGCTCATTAAGGTAGACGGAAGTTATCTGATAGCCTCCCACTGCAATCAACCAAAAAGACATCTTTGTCTATATCTATTAATAAATAGATATTTATTATCTTTGTCATAACTTATTAGACAAATATTAATGTAAAGTTTATATTTTAAAACATTAAATCTTTTACAAATATGTTATCATAAAAAAATTGCAATATGCTCAAGATTTTATCAGTAATGATAAGATAATAAAAATTTAATTAAAAATAGATTTTTTCCATCTAGATAAACAGTTTCTTTTGATTTATGTAAGCTTAAGTGCATTGAGCTTATAAGAACCATACTTACTTGAATTAGATTTCATTGAATTATACTAAATCAGTTATGAAAGCGTATCGTTCTCTCTCAGTTCATTACAAACAATATTTAACAACGACCAGTTTTGTTTGAGTTCTGATTGTTAAAGCGCTGACGTCATTAAACAATATAAATTATTTGCTATAATTACTAATATAAGTATTTATTTCAGTTTACTTAAAAGTATTTCACTTTCTAGTAAAGTTACAAACAAATAAACCTCATTTTTCTATTTAAATGATGTGGAAAAATATCTTATATGTATGAGACTTATATATACACTATATATTTTGGAAGACCTATAAAACTTAAAGATAATTGCTTGATCTGGGAACCAAAAAACAGTTGTTAGGAAGAAGAGTTAATTTTCAGTATTTCCGGTATCAACAAATCTTCGATATCCTAAAAACTATTCAATCAATTAGCTTAACTGGTACATCATAATTCATACTGTACTTTATCATGTTAAATATCTATTTGATTGAAGATTTTAGACAATATTTTTGGAACAAAAAATATTTATAAAAGAACAAAATACAATTTATTTAGTTTTTAATAAGAAATGTAAATTACACATTAACCATTTCATACTAACATACCAACTCGAAAACTATTAATATATCGTCATTATTACAGGAAGTGACGTATTAAATTATTACTCAGCTAGTCAGTAGTGATTTTTCAGTGAAATTTTAAAACAATTTATTAAACAATAAAATATATATTCTTATTAATATCAAAAATATAATTTAATAATTTTTAGCACTAGAAATTTATTAAACTTACACGACATTGAAATAATGACATCGGTTTTATCCCAATATCTGCCACCGAATTAACAACACCATTAAGATGTAGATTCTCATTATCTTGTATGAAATAATTTACAAATACAGGAACGAAATCGTTACGTTCTAAATCGCTCCATTCGTTAAACCACTGAACAATATACCGAAATTCTCTATCGATTGATAAATTATTAACTGCCATCGTTAAACAAAGTTATATTAAACAATTAAAAACAACACAACAAATTCTTGATAATTTCACTTATTTTATTTCAGTTTTATTCATATAATAATAAACATTTTCAACAATTTTTAATACAATTTCATTCATTAACATGCAAACGTTGCACTAAACAATCTTCATACACAGTGCACTAGCTTCGAACTGCAACTTTTTCACCAATATACTAACAAGAAGTGTGAATTTTTTTTCATACTATGTTTTGGTCGGTCTTTCGTTCATTTGTTTGGTCTACCTGCTGTAGTGTGTTGGAGATTTATGTGGTTAATACAAGCATTCAGTAGTTCGTATCGCATCCAACAAGTTTTTTAAGCAGCCCATACTGTCAATTCCAACTACACATAATCAACAAACTATCAAATATATAATATACTACGGTCGTGTGAGAGTTCGAGTAAATTGAGGTAAAATAAATTGAAATTTCCAACAGATTGTTTGCACTTATGTAAATATTTATTTATTTATTGCACTTAGTTATTATTTTTGCTTTAAAGTTTTGAAATTTATTTATTAAACATCTTATAAAATTTTAACAATGGTAATACCTAATTTATTTAATTTTTATCTAATTTACACTAATTGAAATTCTGGTATATACCAACATTCACTGCCAACCGATATAATTTACTATTTCTCTCAATTTACCATCAATTTGATCTAACTCGCATACAGCCTATATAGGTGCATTCTTTTGACACGACTGCTCCAAAAGAACATGTGTCGCTTAAAAATTAACATGTAAAGCATAAACAAAATTCACAAAAATAAACCCATTTTCCTGAAAGTTGTTAACGAATAACCCTCTCGCATAACAATGGTGCCAAATCTTAAAACTGATCTATTGTGAATGATTTTTGACAGAAAATGGAAAACTTCAATCAGCTGTTTATTATTTACAACTATTCCGAGTGTTAATAAGTAAATTTAAATATTTTAAAAAAATTATTTTTTTAATAAAATTTGTGAAAATTACTGACAGGTTAGTAATTGTTAAGAAGTCATTCGTCAATTATTTATTAAGGTTATTATTTAGGTTTATTATTTAATTATTAAGGAATTTTTAATTTCTATGTTCATTAAAAAGTGCAATAAATTAATAAATGCAAAACACAATCTTTAAAATAGAAGCAAAAAGTTGTAATTAATTTTTCCATGGATTGCATAACATATTAAATGTAAAGGATCAATCAAATAAATTCAACTTCATCATTCTCTGTAAAATTTGTACACCAATAATTCGATATTTGTTGAAAATTTAGAACAAAATAATCAAACTTTTTGTCACCCGTTATTGGTTTAAATAAAGTAAATGGGAATATATAGAAAATTGTCAATCCACTACTAATTGGTCAAACGTTTTCAAGAACATATTTTTTTAATATTCAAGCAATTATTTTATTTATTTATTCCTATTTTCTTTGTTTTAAAAGGCGAAATAAAAAAAATGCAGATAAAATTATTATTTAAATAACAGTATACTGTTTTATTAAATTTGTATAACATTTCACGCACACCTAGAAACGAAGCTCGTATATATGAGTAATATGGCTAGAACCGACCAATCATGTAAAGTTGCTCATGTGTTTGCTTAAGCGATTATTTCAAAAAATTTAATTTTCAATGTTTTAACTCTTGAGTCAAAAATATAAAATAGCGTGGTGAAAATGTTATATAGAAAAATTTCTAGAGATTTACAATTTAATAATAATAATGAAATTAAATGTAGATCAAGATAATTAGGCTATCTACATAACACAAAAAACTTTTATTTTCATTGTAATTTTGTTGATTGACTTATCTTTTTGTTACAAAATCAAGTTACAATAATAATTCGATGAAAATAATAAGATTTTATAAAAAATTAAATTAAAAATAAATAATAAAAGTGTGTAGCGATATTATGAATAATTTCCATAACCTAAAATATATCAAAAATATATTAATTTATGGGCGTAAAATATGAGAAACGAAATTAAATTTAAATTAATCTTCATTTTATAACTAAGCAAGCCGAACGAACAAAATTAACAATTAAAATTATAATTGCTTATGTTGTGTGAATAGGCTAAACCTTACAAAAATCTATATAACTGAACAAGGTTTAACGTAACGTAATAAATTCATTCATTTGAAAATTTTGTTTTTTTGGTGCACCCTAAATGTCAGCTGATAATTGCTTCCGCCATAATCCTCTTCTTCTGAATTAATTTTATTCTAGACGAAACGTATTTTATCGTGCTTTATTATTTAGAAAACGCGGTTTTCAGTGTAAATAAATCCATAATTTAGTTCTTGAACAATAAAAAATTAATATTTAATTTATGAATTCACTTAGTAAACCAAGAAGTCGAAATATTTTAAAATAATTAACCGAACTGACGCACATAGAGCTGGTCTTGTTCAAAGTCAACAATAGTCACTAGTATTTTAATTATATACTTTTCAAAACTAGAATTTTGAATACATTTTAATTATGACTGCAACTGAAGTAGAAATGCATCTGAATAATGAAAATTCACAATCAGATGGAAATGTTAATGTAAATAATGATGCAGAAATTACTCAGGATCAAAAGTCTAAATTTTCAGTTGAAAATGATTCCGGTTTAGCTGAAGGATATAAAAATCAAGGCAATGAATATTTAAAATGTATGCTATAATTTATTATTTAAATTATTATTATTAATTATTACTAATATACGATTAGATAGTACGATATTGTGTTATTACATATATGTTACATAGACATAACCTAATTTTATATCGTCTGTATGAAGTTATTGGAAAGGAAAACGGTTCAATACACTAATTAGTATTGTTAATTATACAAATTAACGAAATTATAGTTTATATATATGTATTGTATAGCTGTAACTAAAAGTTACAGAATATTTAAAACAATGTTATAAGCGAAATGTAGTTGTTAATTGTGAAAATCTATAAAACTGCAAACTTTCTCGCAAGTGGGTTAGAGAGTAGTAAATTATCATAAGAACTATTTAGTGAATTGTGTGTTGATTTAGAATATCTTTGATTAATTAATTGAAAGTCAAATCTGTGAATTTTAAACATATTATCCTTGCTGTTTCAAGTATACTACAGTGAAATTGTATATTTCCAAAATTTTAGTTCAGATATATTCCAATATTGAACAAGTTATCTTTGCAGTTTCAAGAGTAGTATAAAACTATAAATATGTATTTTTAAAATTATTGTAGTTTAGCTATATTCCAATATTAAACAAAATAACGTTGCGGTTTCAAGTGTTGTATAAAACCAAAAGTATGTATTTACAGAATTCTTGTAGATCGAATATATTCCCCTGTTCTTAGTAAAACCTACTCAGTTTGCTATTTCTGTAGAAGATGTAACTCGAATAGAAATTCTAATCAGTACTTCACCGTCGATGATGAGTGGCGCCGTAATGTCGATTCGCCATATCCTTAAACTTATATACACTTCTACATGTTATTTACAACTACATTTATGTAGATTTTGGATTGGATCTCAGTCCAAAATTAGTTGTAACAAAAATGGTCAGAAAATAATTAAAACAACGAAAAGTTCAAGCGTAGTAAAGTCTGTTGTGACCATATCTGCATTATCTGCAACCATGTATACTTTAAGGTTCCAAGAACGGCTGGGTCTACGTCCCAAAGCCACCAAGTGCTGTTTAACAACTCCTAAAGAGACTTCACAAACAAGTCCCAGCGGGTTACAAAAATTACAACATATATATTTTAAAATAAATTATAATCAATTAATAGATTCATTAATAATAACGTTTGGCACATTTTAGTTATGCTTCGTTATATTAACTGACTTAAAGGCTTTAAGGTTCCGTCATTGTGCGTGTAAAGGGTGTTTAGAGCTGTACTTAGCCGAAGATTTTTCCCGTTTACGCTGGCTAAACAATATTTTATTCACCGAACACTGTTATTATACAGAATAACTTACAAATATTAATAAATTGTAAATAATGAGCCACAAATTTTTAAATATCCTTTGATATTTATTTTATATTTTAAATACAAGAACTTATTATCAAAATCTTTCATTCAACTTTAAATATAAATATATACGCAGCACCGTACCAACTACCACGACATTTTGTATAATACTACCGATTTTAAACACTAATAATTATTTTCCAATAAATATCTTTCCACAATTAGTTGTAGCTGTAGCTTCTGCTCACTCATGACCTACAGATATAAGAGTAGTTGAAGAGAATTCAATAAACACCACTAAGAGGAGTAGGAAGACACAATAAGAAGCTCATATATTTTAAAGTAAATACACAAAACTTCAATTTTTGTTTATTATGCATAAAAATTATAATTGTTATTTTGTATACTATAAACAATATGCATTCTTATTTTATGATAACTTTGATTATTATGTATATTTGTTCACTTGTATATTTGTATAATTGTATATATATTTTAGCTAAGGATTTCACTAAAGCTATAGAATTTTACACAAAAGCAATTGAGCTTTGTCCAAGCAGTGCAATTTATTATGCGAATCGCTCTTTAGCTCATTTACGTCAGGAAAGTTTTGGATTTGCCTTACAAGATGGCATTTCGGCAGTTAAGAGCGATCCAGCTTATCTTAAGGGTTATTATCGACGTGCAGCAGCTCACATGTCATTGGGAAAATTTAAGCAAGCATTATCGGATTTTGAATATGTAATTAATTTTAATAAATGTATATATTATAATGATATAATCTTATATATATGTCTATATATTTATAGGTTTCTAAATGTCGACCTAACGATAAA